TTTGGGTAGTGAAGGGCGGGGTAGAAATCCAGTCTCCTCCTCCCCCACCACCTCCTCCCGAGGAAGCCTGTTCCACTGAGGAACTGCTCTAATGGTCAGGAAGTCCTTCCTTATGTTTAGCCAAAAACTCTTCTGATTTAATTCCAACCCATTGGTTCTGGTCCGACCTTCTGGGGCAACAGAAAACAACTGCGTACCATCCTCTACAGGACAGCCCTTCAACTACCTGAAGATCGTTATCATCTCAGCTCTCAGTCGTCTCCTCTCCAGGCTAAACATACCCAGCTCCTTCAACCTTTCCCCAAAGGACTTGGTCTCCAGACCCCTCACTATCTTTATTGCCCTCCTCTCTGGACATGTTCCGGAGAGTCTATTCCCCACAGAGTTAAACCCAAACCAATGATAACCATATAAACTAAGCTTGTTATTCCTGTTTGGTCCTTGAATCTGTTAAACATCTCCATTATGCTGTATGCTAATTTGCTGCTTACCCTCTACCAGTGTTCCCTCTAAACTGAGTAAGTGTGAGCTGGCTCACAGTTTTTTAGCCTCCGGCTCGCAAATTTTTGTCTCCGCTCAGGAAGGAGGGCTCCAGAGCAAACTAATTGATGCAGCAGCCAAAACGCTCACTCACAACTTCAATGCCAGTAGCTCACAAAGTAGAATTTTTGCTCACACATCTCCAGAGCTTAGAGGGAATATTGCCCTCTGCCTATATATGTGAACAGGTAACTTCCATTTCACTGTATCTGAAGAAGTGTGCATGGACACGAATGCCTATACCCTGAATAAAACATTGTTGGTCTTAAAGGTGCCAATTGGACTCAAGCTTTGTTTCAATATGGATGTGGAGGAGATGCCTGAGAAAGAAATCTCACCTATCTGGATTTGTTAGGATGGAGGGCCGGGGGTTATCAGTCTTCGTGGGACCAAACACTCCTACGTGGAACCGTAAAAGAGGCTGTAAAACAGACTCATTCTTGGGTCCCGTCTGGTCGGCTTTAATTAAGCCGATTGGGTTTTACCCAATCGAGGGCTCTGATATACGAGCGTCACCACCCTCAGGCCTCCGGTAATTTAATGGGAAAGCTGGGGGGAAGCCAAGAACATTCAGTCCAAAAGCAGCTGTGCTGCAAATATGCAGATGCCGCTAATAGCTGGCGAACAATTACATTAATCCTGGGGTACAAAAATATCTTCGGAGTGTTTATCAAGACAGAGCCTGACGACCCCTAAGCGAGTGAGAACAGACACCCAGACGAACATCAGCCGCCAGCAGGATCGAGAATAGAGTTCAGATTCATAAAAATCCCCTTCTCATCCACAGGTACACGCCAGAAGATATAGAATTCAACGCGATCTGAACACACTGGGGAAAGTGGGCGGATGTGAGCAAGATGCAGTTTAACCAGGATAAGTGCCGAGTTCTACATCTGGATAACAAAAATGAGGAACACGTATACTGGATGGGGGATACACTTCTGGGTGGCAGTGAGTGTGAACAAGATCTTGTGGTATGGGTGGACCATAAGTTCAATATGAGCAGCCAGCGTGATGCGGCAACAAATAAGGCTAATGCGATCGTGGGGTGTATCAACAGAGACATAACATCCCAATCGCAAGACATCATAACCAAGCTGTACACTGCATGGGTCAGGCCGCACCGGGAGTCTTGTGTCCAGTTCTGGAGGCCTCACTTCAGAAAGGGTGCAGAGGAGAGCCACAAGGATGATCAAGGGCCTGGAGACCAAGAAGCCCTGTGAGGAAAGGCTGCGGGACTTGGGAAGGTTTGGTCTGGAGAAGAGGAGGTTGAATGGGGGTATGATTGCTTGAAGTATTTGAAGGGCTGTCACTTAGAGGAGGGCAGGGAGCTGTTCCTGTTGGCAGCAGAGAACAGAACTCGCAAGGATGGGTTTACGTTAAGGGCGGGAAGGTACCAGCTGGATCTTAGGGAAAACGTTTTGACAGTCAGAGTTGTGCCACAGTGGAGTCAGCTGCCTGGGGAGGTGGCAAGCTCCCCCTCCCTGGCAGTCTTTAAGCAGCGGCTGGACAAACACTTGCTCTAGGCCGATCCTGCATTGGGCAGGGGGTCGGACTAGATGGCCTCTATGGGCCCTTCCAACTCTGTCATTCTAAGATTCTATGAATCCAAAGCGAGACCAAATGCAGAAAAATGCTCAGAATTTCACTGTGGTGATGCAATCGGGGGTCTCCAACATGGTGCCTGTGAGCGCCCATGAACCCCTTTCCTGTTACCTGGCAAGTGATTTTAGGAAGTCAGTGGGGGTTTGGCCACCAAGACTTCTTATTGGTTGTGTAGATCTTCTTTTAAAGAATGTTGCTTCGGCAGCCACTGCCCCCGTGGCACAAAGATCTTCACAGGGTGATTGAAAGTCAGCTGCAGCAGCCATTTTGTAGCTGACTCCACCTCCAGCGGCAGCCATTTTAAGTCTGAACCCATCACACTGTGTTAGACTTCCAAAGGCGCCCACAGGCTCAAAAACATTGCGAACCCCGGTCTGGGTCATTTTGGTGTAGTGGTTAGGAGCGCGGACTCTGATCTGGGAGAACCGGGTTTGATTCCCCACTCCTCCACATGCAGCTGCTGGTGTGACCTTGGATCAGTCACAAGTTCTCTCAGAGCTGATATCTCAAGGGCAGTTCTGGACAGAGCTCTCACAGCCTCACCTACCTCACAGGGTGCCTGTTGTCGGGAGGGGAGGGAAAGGAGATTGTAAGCCGCTCCGAGACTCCTTTCATTAGTGAAGGGCGGGGTATAAATACAATCTCTTGGTGTAGTTTGATGTAGTGGTTTGGTGTAGTGGTTAGGAGCGCAGACTCTAATCTGGGAGAACAGGGTTTGATTCCCTGCTCCTCCACATGCAGCAGCTGGTGTGACCTTGGGCCAGTCACAAGTTCTCTCAGAGCTGATATCTCAAGGGCAGTTCTGGACAGAGCTCTCACAGCCTCACCTACCTCACAGGGTGTCTGTTGTGCGAAAGGGAAGGGAAAGGAGATTGTAAGCCGCCCTGAGACTCCTTCAGGTAGTGAAGGGCAGGGTATAAATCCAATGTCTTCTTCTTCCCTCCTCTAAGTTCTTAGGAAGAAGAAAAGGAGGAGAAGGAGGAAGAGTAGTAGAAGAAGAAGAATCATTTTGGGCCTCTAGATTTTTAAGTTTTTCTTTTGGGGAGAAGCACCACGCTTTCCAAATAAACGTCTTTCCACTCTCTTTTGCAGCTTCCTCTGGAAGATCGCCGCACTGCAGGGGAATAAGAAATCCATCTAGCTCGCAACGCTAGCCTTGGGAATACAGCCATCTTCGTTGGAAGCACAATGATGTTAAATTAGAGCCACAGAAGGGGGGAAACAAAAATAAACTCCTTGCTGGTAAATAAAAGGTGATGCCCCGGGGGAGGCAACTCTCCACTCCAGAATACTGCTAATTCTCTGGCCAATGTTTGTGTAACACACAATTAACTGCAAAGGAAAGAGGCATGTATTTATCTAAGGCAGAGGTAACCTTATCTCCTGGTGGTTTTGGTTGTATTAGCCGGCAAGCATGGTCTTGGCTCCAATCCCGTCTGCAGTTTCGCATACATAATAGGTTCTAAAAGGACACCCCTCTCGGTGCCTGAAGTTCTGAGAAATCGGTGTCTAAACATCCTTTTCAGGGTATTGTAATCTCTCGCCCGCGAGTTCTTCCGCGAGTCTCAAATATTGTCCATATGGCAAACGGCTGCGTGATTGAGGTGTACGAAATTCATGTAACACGTTAAGTGCTAATTCCGATCAGTGAGTTGGACAGAAAGTGGTAAAAAAAAAAAAAAGACAGATGGTCCTTATTTCAAAAAGCCTCTGCTCCCAAAAACAAAAAGCACAGCATTCAAATGGAAGGGGATTTAAAAAAAACCAACGGTGGGACGGAGGTTTCAGTCCAGGCCAAAAAGGGGGGGGGGGAATCCAGAGACAAAAAGTATGAAATGTTCCCCGAGGCTGGCTGTTATGTATTAGGGCTGGAACATTCCAGGACTGGGTACCAGAGACTGGCTGAGCTTGGAGCTCAAGAACAATATCCCACCAGGACTCTGGAAGTGACGAATGAGGAACCAATGTTACGTAAATAGCCTATCCTTGGGAGTTGGCCATGTTTGGGTGTGGTCTTTGCATGCTATTAAAACAGGGCTGTCGCCCTGAGGTTTCTAGTCTTGTTCCTGAAATCACTTAATAAAGCAGAGCTGTTCACCGCAATGCATCTTGAACCCAGTATTTAGTACTGGCCAAAGGTAACGGAGTGCACAGGTTTTGTAAAGGGGTAAAATGGATAAGATCCATGGGACCGTATTATGCACACTGATGCAATATCTGCCGCTGAACCCACCCCTGGAGATGGCGGATGTCTGCCAAATCTAGAAGTTCCCCAAGGATGCAGGTGGGCTCTGAGACTTGTACAACCAGAGACCTCCGCATGTTCAGGTTTGGGATTGATCTAAGCTTCCCTCTCCCTGAAGAACACCAGGGGGCACAGTTGGGGCTGTCTATGGGGTAAGCAAGTGATTTGTGGGCCCATGGACTCTATCAAAGGAGGAGAAGGAGGAGGAGATTGGAATTATACCCCGCCCTTCACTACCCGAAGGAGTCTCAGAGCGGTTTACAATCTCCTTTCCCTTCCCTTACCCACAACAGACAACCTGTGAAGTAGGTGGGGCTGAGAGAGCTCTTTTGAGAACTGCTCATGAGAGAACAGCTCTGAAAGAACTTGTGACTGACCCAAGGTCACCCAGCTGGGGAATCAAACGCAGTTCTCCCAGATTAAAGTCCGCGCTCCTAACCACTACACCAAACTGGCTCTCCAGGTATTAGAAATGCTGGCTTCAGAGCAGGAAGGGTGAGGCGTTAGGAAGGGTGAGCGCACAAACCTTTCATTATCTGTTTGCAGCGGGAGGAGGCAGCCTGGGAGGAGATGGACAGTCCTCAGAGCTCTGTGGAGCACGAACACTCACGTGAGACTTTCTCAGAGACGAGTGACGCCTGGAGGTCAAGAGTCATTGTCCTTTCTGCCCCCTTCGTGATATGAAAAGACGGTATTATCACCAAGGTGAAAGAAAATCCACTTTCTGAAATAAACTCTCCCGCAGGCCGACGGGGGAGCCGCAAGGGCGCTTGACCTAGATAAACGATGCTTTCTGAGCGGCGTGCTCCCGTCCTCGACTTTGCTGCAATTAAGGCCTACACAAAGGTCCTTTGTATCGGCGGCACCTACAGCCCGCCGGAGGGTGACCTTGCATCAAGGCAGGGGATCCGATCTAATGAGAGACTGCGGCACAGCCGAGATCAGTTTGGAGAGGGACTGGAAAAGCCAGAGGAGGGCCCAAGCCCTTGGCTTCCTGCAAAGAGGGTGCCTGTGTGTGTTTGTATAGAGGGGAAGCCAAGCAGTGCCTTCAAAAATGAACCAGTATGTCTTCTCTGTTATGTCCCCGGGAGAGCTTGACACTCTTCGAATAATAGGGCTGCCAAGTACCCGGGGGGGGGGTCCCACCAAAAGGGCCCCCAACCCGCCTATCCGGATCAGGCTGGTGGGGTGATGTCACCCAGAGGTGACGTCATCGCGCCGGGCACATCACCGGCCGGCGCTCTAGCAACCAGCCTGAAAACTCTATGGTACCATAGAGTTTCCAGGCTGATTGCTAGAGCGTTGGCCAGCAACATCCCCAACGTGACAATGTCACTTCCGGGTGATGTCAGTGTGCTTTGTGCGCAAGTCTCCCGGATTGGGTCTCCCCCACTGTGCCAGTTAAGTGACTTGGCAACCCTATCGAATAACGACTTGCTGGCAATCCCTGGCCCTAGAGACGTCGGATGTCCTCGACCAGGGCCGGGGCCTTTTCGATCCTGGCCCCGACCTGGTGGCACTCTCTGTCAAATGATGTCAGGGCCCTGCGGGATCTGATGCAATCCCGCAGGGCCTGTAAGGCAGAGATGTTCCGCCAGGCTTTTGGTCAAGGGCAGCGACGGTTACCTCATTGGCTGGCACCCTTCCTTCCCCTTCCCCCCCCCCGCGCCCGGGTGCCCCCCCCCCCCCGCCCCACCAAAAGCCGCCCAGAAAAAAGGGACCGGTAGTCTGAAACTGAGATAATAATACTATAAGAAAATTGCCATCTTGGATCTTCTATTTATACTGAAGTTCTTACTAAGTTTATATGAATTTTTGTGTTTAAATTTTTTATTTTTTTATTTTTTGTGTTTAAATTTTTTATTAGTTTATATGAATTTTAATGTTTTGTATTTTATGACTTTGTGTTCTCTACATTGCCCAGAGGCCAGCATAAACTGGGACAGCGTGATTAATAAATCCAATAAATAACAAAACCCACCACCCACAGCGCTCTTGCACGTGTTTTCATAGAATCATCATAGAATCCTAGAGAGTTGGAAGGGGCCATACAGACCCTCTAGTCCAGGGGTGTCAAACATGCACTCCGGGGGGCCGGATCAGGCCACCTCCTGGAGGGCTTCTATCAAGCCCGCAGTGGAACTGGCTGTCTTCTGCTTCTTCTTCCAGTTCTGCTGCTGCTGCATCAATGTAGGTTTGCAGCTTACAGATACACACCTGAACGGCGTACTCAAGATTGCAACAGCGCAGACATTTTGATGCAATAATTCAGAGCAAGAGGTGTCAGTTATCAGACAGTGTTAAATAAACAAAATATTGCAAGAGTGCTAATGTTTTAAGCATGTTTTTATTTTAAGTAAAAATAAACCCATTGTGTTTGTGCCCTTTATAAAGTTTATACCTCCGCTACCTGGCATTCCATTTTATGACGCACATGGCCCGGCCAACAAGGGCTCATTTATGCCAGATCTGGCCCTCATAACAAATGAGTTCGACACCCCTGCTCTAAAGCTTTTGGGTACCTATGACTCCTGGGGCTACAACACTGTTGCAGAGGGGGCCATGCAAACAAGTTAGACCTAGAAAAGAGCAAGAGTCCAGGAGCACCTTAAACACTAACAAAACTTGTAGCAGGGTAGGAGTTTTCGTGAGTCACGGCTCTCTTCTTCAGATATAGCTGTCCTATATATTGGAAAGTGGAGTGATTTCAGATGCCGAATGACAAAAGCAGGCGAATGACAATGTCAGGCGTGATGTCATTCGGCATCTGAAATCACTCCACTTTCCAATATATAGGACAGACGGAGTCACCTTCTAGCTGCATCTGAAGAAGTGAGCCGTGACTCACGAAAGCTCCTCCCCTGCCACGAATTTTGTTAGTCTTGAAGGTGCTCCTGGACTCTTGCTCTTTTCCAGGGCTATTTTTGGGCAGGTACAGGAACGGAGCTCCGGCTGGCTCCCAAGTTGGCCACACCCAGCAGGAACTCATTAGCACAATAGGTCACACCCAACAGCAGAAGCTCATTAGGATTGGCTACATTAGGGGTGTGTGGCCTAACATACAAAGGAGCTTCTGCTACAGAAAAAGCCCTGGGTTTGGACAACAAACAAGGTAAACAGAATAAGAAGCAAAAGGTGGGTGTGGCTGGATGAGCACACTTCTGGTAACGTGGGGGAGTGGCCTAATATGCCAATGAGCTGTGCTGTCAGGGGTGTGGCCTAATATGCTAATGAGCTTCTGCTGTTGGGTGTGGCCTATCATGCTAATGAGTTCCTGCTGGGCTTTTTCTACAAAAAGAGCCCTTTCTACTGCTGCGGTCAGACTAACACGGCTACCCATCTGATCTGCCTGAAGAAGTGAGCCGTGACTCACGAAAAATCCTTCCCTGCCACAAGTTTTGTCAGTCTTGAAGGTGCTCCTGGACTCTTGCTGTTTTCTACTGCTGCAGACAGACTAACACGGCTACCCATCTTGATATCACAGATTTTGTCAGTCTTGAAGGTGCTGCTGGACTCTTGCTCTTTTTTACTCCTGCAGACAGACTAACATGGCTACCCGTCATGATCTATCTACAATGGTTAATATTGCAATCCTTTAGGGGGGGGGAAAAAACCCACAATAAGCAGGTGTCCAGCTTAAAAGAAGCATCCTTGTTTTTTGCTGACGCAGGAGGGAGCGCCTCTATCAAAACGCATCCGGGGTGTCAGAGGCAACGTCTTAAAAGCCGGTGAAATTGCTTTTTTCCCTTCAAAAGCAGACATCGCATACAAAATGTATGCAGATTTAATCAATTAAAACCCATCCGTTTAAATCAAACGAGGTTTGTCCCATCAGGTGATAGCCTCGAAAAATAAAAGTACCAACATCTCAATTGTCTGGAGACAGCCTGGAGAACGTTTTGAGATGCAAATAGCCTTCTGTTATCGACACCGGGCCAAACCAAATTGCCACCCTGACAGAGAATAAACACGATGCAAATCAGTCAGTATTTTTTTTTTTTTTTAAAGAATGGAATCAGAAACAGGTAGGAGAGTATTTAATTCTTCCCGGATGTTCATTAACAGATTTGGAAGTTGCTGTACTTTGGCCAAAAAAAAAAAAAAAGAGAGATAAAGAGTGCAAAGGGAGAGATTCCAGTAGGAATTCGCACACAGATCTGACATGATGAAGCCTGGGCTCAATAAGGAAGAAGAGGAAGAAGAAGAAGAAGAAGAGGAAGAGGAAGAAGAAGAGGAGGAGGAGGAGGAGGAGGAGAAGATGGAGATTGAATTTATACCCTGCCCTTCACTCGGAGTCTCAGAGTGCTTACAGTCTCCTTTCACTTCCCCTCCCCACAACAGACACCCTGTGAGGTAGGTGGGGCCGAGAGAGCTCTTTTGAGGACTACCCTTGAGAGAACAGCTCTGAAAGAACTTGTGACTGACCCAAGGTCACACCAGCAGCTGCATGTGGAGGAGTGGGGATCAAACCCAGTTCTCCCAAATTAGAGTTCTCTCACAACAACCCTGCGAAGGAGGCAAGGCTGAGAGCTTGTGATGGGCCCAAGGTCACCTGGCGAGCTTCCACGGTAGGAGTGAGGATTTGAACCTGGGTCACCCAGGGTCTGAGTCCACTACTCTATTCACGACAACACACTGGCTCAGTATGATGATTCACACAATTTTATTTGAGGTATAAGCTTTCGTGTCTGAGCACCCTTCCTTAAAATTGCCACTGGACTCAAACTTTGTTCTGTAACAGATGTTGTTTAGAAAGGCCCCACACTTCTAGCGTTTCACAATCTGTGCAAAAAAGGGACACACAGTATTTTGTTCCAATACAATGAAAGGCTGGACAACACATCCAATTACTATGTCGGATTACACAGGGAAGCCATTGAAATTCATAAACATGAACACGATTTCAACAGGAAAGAAGAGAGTTTAAAAACAAATAGGGCATGGTTTCCTGTCCTGAAAAACACAAAAGGCTCTACATCTGACAATAGCACTACAGATACGATTAGAATTTCAACAGCCCATCCACATGCAAAAGAACCTCCTCAGGAAACAGGAAACCTCCTCAGGAAACAGGAAACCTCCTCAGGAAACAATCCCTATGCAAAAGAACTTCCTCAGGAAACAGCCAGTCCATATGCAAAAGAACCTCCTCAGGAAAGCTCCTCCATTAGCATGTTTCACAGCCTGGGGAACTCCTACAAGATAATGACTCAGCCCTACCCCACCTTCCTGAGTAGAGATAAATCACCTGCCTACCATTTTCTTCTCACCTTGACACAGAGAGTACTCCATCTTTCTGTGTTATACCTCTGAGGATGCCAGTCACAGCTGCTGGCGAAACGTCAGGTCCTACAGTGCCGAGACCACGGCTAGACAACCCAGAAAATCTACAACAGCTAACAAAAAAGGGATTGTTCCATTGGGCATTCTTGTAGGGGGGAGCAGAGCTGTGGTGTAATGGATCAGCTCGGGAGAGGCCTTCTGCTAGGAACGAAGTTCTCTGACATTGATTGTCTTGTTGCCTTCGATGGCTATGCTTGCTGGCGTTTGCTCCCCACCCTGTTCTTTTTTTAAAATCAATGGCTTGAATTCAACCAGTCACCAAGTTGGGGAGACAAAACCAGCATTTGCCTTAACAAACCAGGATTTGATGGGT